TTTCTTGAGTTGGTTGTTGAGTTTGTTGTGGAGTCGGTTGTTGGGTTGGTTGTTGAGTTTGTTGTGGTGGTGATTGTTGAGTTTGTTCTTGAGCTGGTTGTTTTGCTGTTGGTTGTGGTGGCGGTTCTTGAGTTTGTTTAGGTTCTGGTGCTGGTTGTTGTTGTGTTGGTTGTGGTGCTTGTGGTTGTGGTGCTGGTTGTTGTTGTGTTGGTTGTGGTGCTTGTGGTTGTGGTGATGGTTGTTTAGCTGGTGGTTCTGGTGCTTGTGGTTGTGGTGATGGTTGTTTAGCTGGTGGTTCTGGTGCTTGTGGTTGTGGTGATGGTTGTTTAGCTGGTTGTTCTGGTGCTTGTGGTTGTGGTGATGGTTGTTTAGCTGGTGGTGCTGGTTGTGGTGCTGCTGGTTGTTTGGCTGGTTGCTTCGACTGCGTAACTGGATTTAAACGTTAAAAAGTTAATACACACGTAGTAGTAGCTAATATTGTAGTCATTTAAAAATTGTTGGTGCTTAATAGATGCCTATATATTAAGCTATACCTGTAAATCTTATGAAAATTGCCATAATGAGTAACAGTATTATAATGTGAGTCCGGCTACAAAATAATTTGGGCCCCATTTTATTTTATTTATTTTATTTTATGTATATATATAACTCGGTTTATTGATGTTTTAAGGGAAAAAAAAAAAGTAAATTAAGCAATAAAACTAATCTAATCCAAGTAAGTGACTTTTTTGAGTAAATAATAACTATTTAATGAGAAAGAGTTCTTTTTGCATTCGTTAAATAATTTCGAATATTTGATTTTATTGAAATTATCAAATGGCCGTCCTATTTAAGAATTTCTTTAACCATCACAGTAAAGTTTTCTCTAAATAATTGAAAATTTCCGCAGTTGTGATCATCTCTTGCTTGAAATAGTTGAGTTTATCCATTTTTAAAAGTAATTGTGACCAATCTATTTAAGTCAATGAAGAAAAAATAACTCAATTTCGTTCTATTTTTAGCCAGAAATACTGATAATCTTTATTACTACCTGGAATGTTCTCCGATCCGATCAGACCAAGAATTTAATTTTTAGTTATGGTGGAGTTTATCACATTTGTTATTTACGTGTTGCAAAAAAGTAACTCTTTTGAATATATTCGATTGTAACGAAAGTCTGATTAAACTTATAACAGATTCAATTTATATTTAATATGATGAATTAGAATTAGTGTTAGTTTGACTAACGATTAATAAAACTGTTTTATCAAAGGATCCTGTTATGTAAACTTGAGTATAAAGTTCATGAGATCTTAAAAAAAACGATATGATATATTGATTAAGTTAGGTGTTCTTGATATTACATTCAAAATTTATTATAAGGGCTGAACAAAATTTTCTGAATTAGATTCTATTAAAAGTTATAAATATGTTAAAACATCATGCGTACAATCACCACCACAACAAACTCAACAACCAACCCAACAACCGACTCCACAACAAACTCAACAACCAACTCAAGAAA